TCTGGCCTGCTAGTTGCACTCCCGCCTTGCTTGGTATTGATTTCCTTTTAGTATTTATGTCTTACAGCTGTTATCTAATTTAATTCAGTTTAAATGTTTTCAACGTGTGTGCAGTTCGGCATGTCGGACATGTTGGTTGATCTTTATACTTCAGCAAGTAGGAACGGGTGTGGTATATGTTACCTATGTGTAGTCGGATTAGAGTTACTTCATCCTTTTTTCTTTGTCTAGATATTTGTTTCCCTTCACTTAGGAATGGTTTGACTTTGAGAGACTTATTATTTACGTTTTTTTTTTTTTTCTTTCAATGTTTCTAACATATCTGCTGAATGTAAGCGGACATTTTTACTTTTCAGGTAACGGATAAAGGAATTCTATCAATGGAAAGAGACAGCTGATCTGTTGAGAATGTATAACGAGTAAAGACGGTCTGGGGACCTTAACACTGGTCGATTAATAGAAAAGAGTGAGTGGATCGCATAAGTGTGATCGGCGAAATTTAAGTTCAAGTTTCAGCCCACTTTCGCAAAAATGCTCATAGAAAAGGCATGAATCCACCTATTAGTTCTCTCCCGCTATGGTTAAATTTGAAATCCAGAACATATTTTTAGACTGAAATATTTTTTTTTCTTTGGAAGGGGTTAATAATGTTTTTACTAATTAACCCATAGCGGGGGGAAGAGGTGGATTCATAACTTTTTTTTAATGGTATTTGCTCGTAAGTGAATATAACGAATCCAACGGGAATTCGAACTCAGCTCCCAGATTAAAAATTCCGAGCCATTATCCATTAAACCAGTCGCAGATCAGCTCCTGGAATTTCCAAGCAGTCCCCCATCTCGGCTCGACGCTGCTTAATTTCGGCGAGCGTACGGGAAACTGTGAGTTGGCTTTCAAACCTTGGATGCCAGCCAGCTGAGCAGGACAACTACTGAAGAAAGCAATATCTTACGGCCTTATCTCTCCTAAGAGGTCGGCACATTTCACAGATAATAAACAAAATGAATCTGTAAAAAAAACATGTTCACTTAAGTCTTGAAAGGACACAGCATTAAAAAAATAGAAAAAGTTTGCTGTTATGAAAGGAAGAGACAGATTAGTGATGGCAAATTTGGAGAGAATGGACTGGGATAATATTTACAAGCTTTTGAAGAGAATCAACACAACTATTTTTTTCTCATGGTGATCTAATTTCTTCCTTTAAGCATCAGTTTAAAATGAAAATTAAATGTGACAGGAAAAGATTGAATGCAGTAGATTTCGGCAAATGATAAATATAGCAAACTTAGTGTATGTGAAAGATAGGATATTATTTTTTTTCTGGGAGATATGTGACACAACGAGGTCGAGTTACCATTGGAACCCACTCTAGATTAGGCAAAAACACTTTTAATAGGATGAGTGCAGAATCGTAAGCCAAGATTTCGGACTTTCTCTTCGACAATAAAGCACCAGTTTCATTTTTATTTCCACCTGCGTACTTCAGCGTTTTAAGAAGCACTTTATCAAGTACTCTCCGCCCATGTATTTGGTATATTTTTCACTTGTTAGTTTGCGGTTAAAATTAGTGGGAAAGAGAGTTCTAAAAACGAAGACTCCATGAATTCAAGCGCCCTACGAGGCTGGCATCCGGCTCCCACACTTAAACTGTAGAAACTTTTAATTGTAGCCGTCTCTTCTACTCTAATAGCTTCATACCTCGCACCTCTCGCCTGTGGAACACCCTTCCCAATTACTGTTTCCCTGAGAGCTATAATCTCCAACTATTCAAATGCAATGTTAATCGACATCTCCAGTTACCTTGATCTATCCACTATCCCTCTCCTCATCCTTTCCTCTATCACTCCTATCTGCTCTTACTCCAAATCTTCCGCAACCCCCTGCATCCTAGTGGCTTCACGCCTTGCTCGGGGCGTAATGCTAAAAAAAAAAAAGAAAAAAAAGTATAGTGTCAAATCCCTTCTAATATATATATATATATATATATGAACGGGAGGTCATATTTCCTAAAATTTATTTCGTTTCACTTTTGGATATTTCCATTTCATCATCCTTAACGCCGCTGGGACTCCGAACACACACACACACACACACACACACACACACACACATATTTACACATACACATATATATATATATATATATATATATATATATATATATATATATATATAAACAGGGTGCTATGGGTAAATTGTCGCCATTTTATATTTTTAATTTCGCGCATGCGCGTTGTTTTTAATTTTGTCGACTGCACTGTATAGTACGGTCACATCGTATGTGAGTAAAAGACCGCCATAACCCAATTCATTACGCCAGGAATGTGGAAACGGTATGCAGTTCTGCTTGGCATTCGCACCGGAAGCTTCAATATGAGTATTTCAGAGTTTTTTTTTTTTTATTTTGAGTGCCCATCTGAGAAAAGTGCAGAGAGTTCGGAAAAAAAAAAACTTGGATGAGTCTAATGGTGATTACGAAGTTACAGCAGCTCGAAAAACTCACTCTGTTTCGTTCAGATCAGAAAAGAACTCCCGAATTGGCTGGTAAGCGCCTTGAGATGGAAGCCAGAGTATGAATATTGTAACCATTATGTAATGCCTGATTGATTATTTTTTCCTCTCACCATGTCTCATTTGGGAAGACAGTGGGTCTGACACAAAATAATTTTAACCAGTTCTCTTTCTAGCTGAATAAATGAAAGAGTTTTGTCGTGATTCTTACAACAAATGGTGTCAAGATGACTAAACTCCTTATCTTCCTGGAAAAGAGTTTAGCGGTCTTTTAGATGGTTAACATTTTGTGGTATGGACAATTATGCAGTTACACTATCTGGACAATTTTTCTGGCATACCCGATATATATATATATATATATATATATATATATATATTTATATACGGAAAAAACAAACAAAAAATTTAATCTTCAGGACATATTCATAAAATATAATTAATGTAGATATAATTCAACATGAAAAAGACGATGGACATAAAAGCAAGACCAATGTCCATCGTGTTTTTCATGTTGAATTGAATATGGTCTATGTTAATTATGTTTTATGAATATGTCCTGAAGATGGTCTATTAGACAAACGTCCGACGTTGACATTAAACATTAAAAACAGCATAATCGCATATTAGGATTTTTGTTTGTTTTTTCAGTATATTTTTCTTCATACTGTCGGATCTATATCCATATATTTGCTTACATGTATATATATATATATATATATATATATATATATATATATATATATATATATATGTGTGTGTGTGTGTGTGTGTGTGTGTGTGTGTGTCTGTATTTAGGCAGCAATCCTTCTTTTCATGCATATTTCATTGAAAACGACAGACAAGGTGCTTTTTTCAGTTTTTTTTATACAATTTCTCATGGGATCTAATAATTTTTTCTTTTCGGATGATAAATTATGTACAAACTATCCGAATGTTCTTTTTATCTGAGCGCTTTCGGTTATACATTTAGCCATTTTCAAGGATTAAATATTTTGACTGTTAAATCAGAAAATTTTTTTAGATAATTTATCATCCCAAAACCAAAAAAAATTAGATCGACTGACAAATTATATAAAAAACTAAATAAAAGCATTTTGTATAAAATTATTAGATCGCACGAGAAACTCTATAAAAAATAAATAAAAGCACCTTGCCTGTCGTAGTCAATGAAATGGGCATATATATATATATATATATATATATATATATATATATAATATATATATATATATATATATAAAAGAAATAATCATACATAGAATCAATCAGACTATTTCTTTATATATAAAAATATATGCTGCCTAATATTACATGTTTATATATATATATATATATATATATATATATATATATATATATATATATATATATAATAGGGACTCGCTATAATATTCTTTTCACAGCAATTTTTTATCAATTCAAAGCAATTAAGGCGATAAAGCCACTATGAGGCAAGGGACAACTGGGAGTGAAAGTGAATGAAAAAAGTTTAGAAGGAACCGGAAACTCAATCCTAAGTAGTGTTATGGTCCGGTTCCTTGTAAAGAAAAACTCGAATACGGATATGGAATAACACAGATATATTACAAACAGGAATATATACAGAGAGGTAGAAAAGGGTCAGTACGAACAATCAGGTTTAGTAGTAATTGTCTGAACGCGACTCTGTTTCGGACTGCCTCTGACTCGACTGACTGACTCCTGACGGACTTCTGACGGACCTCACTCCAGACTTCAGGCTGAACTCTCTGCTTCCTCTTAAGGCGCAGTATTTATTACGTATGGAATAGTCCATTATGTTATTATGGGTAAGGTTCCATAACAAGTAGTGAACATGGGATCGATCTACGGCTGTTCAAAAAACCGGAAGGAGTATTCTGGGAAAGAGATAAGATCTGTTAGATGGACGACTGTGTACATAAAAGGCGTTACAAATTTTGAGAGGTCATACATTGAATATCTCTCTATTACAAACCGAAAAAATGAACGCCGCTCTAATATTCTTTCACAAAGAATGTTGTTCCTTGTCTGCTGTTTTGGGATATTGTGCGGGCCTCAAGCTGGCTCTTAGAAGTCCTCAAAGTGACAAAAAGCAATACATGCTGTTGAACGCTCAAACATTGAAAACGCCCGGAGAGTTGCTGAAAAGTATAGCCCCAAACAAGCCACGTCAGATACAGTCGTTCCCCCGACCGGATGTCTCCATCTTGAATTCTTTTATCGTAATGGTTCCCAAATGGTGTGAATTGCCTTGTATATGCGGCAAAAGTGGATAGCAAATGAATTGTAAGGATTGAAAGACAATGATATAGAAACAGTTACACAAAATTTATATGCCAAACATAAATAGGATTTCAGAATTTGAAAATATTATTATAGATTACTTATAATTGCAAGCATTAGCCCCAGTATAAAGAGTTATAAACAATTATTAAGCAATTTTATCACTGTGATAATTTTGCTTTATGCCAAGTATTAAGAATAAGCGTACGATCACCGAAGTTAAACAGCGTAGAGCCAGGTCAGTACTTAGATGGGGGACCGCTTGGAAACACCTGGTACTGTAAGCCCCCAAAGTCCAACCCTTACCTCACAGTCGGTGGGTGGGTGTAAACGGTAGTGTCAGCGCTATGCCGCCCGGAACTTCGTTCCTGGTAGGGCCACCCAAGGCGGACAGGTCTGACACACACGCCGGCTAACAAGGGCTCTGGTGAAAATCCAAGGAGCGTCTGTATCGGTAACCGGCGGCTTCTGGTCGTTCCTGTCTCTGCGTCTGTGGGAACCCCGCGGCAAGCAAGAACGTTATCCGAGTAGGCCTGGGTACCCTACTTCTGTAATTTATCCCAAGAATCTTCTTCTCATAACAGGAAGAAGCCGGCTCAATCCGCCCAGGGTGAATGCCGCATCAGTACAGTACAGTACAAGTATTAAGAATATATTAATAATATTCGTATTAAGCATAACTAGGATCCACGTCTTGGGTATGATGATAAACTACATCCGCGTCCTAGGTATGACGATGAACTACATCTGCGTCCTGGGTATGACGATAAACTACATCCGCGTCCTGGGTAAGACGATGAACTACATCTGCGTCCTGGGTAAGACGATAAACTACATCTGCGTCCTGGGTATGATGATAAACTACATCCGCGTCCTGGGTATGACGATAAACTACATCCGCGTCCTGGGTAAGACGATAAACTATATCCGCGTCCTGGGTAAGACGATAAACTACATCTGCGTCCTGGGTATGACGATAAACTACATCCGCGTCCTGGGTAAGACGATAAACTACATCTGCGTCCTGGGTATGACGATAAACTACATCCGCGTCCTGGGTAAGACGATAAACTACATCCGCGTCCTGGGTAAGACGATAAACCACATCTGCGTCCTGGGTATGACGATAAACTACATCCGCGTCCTGGGTAAGACGATAAACTACATCTGCGTCCTGGGTATGACGATAAACTACATCCGCGTCCTGGGTAAGACGATGAACTACATCTGCGTCCTGGGTATGACAATAAACTACATCCGCGTCCTGGGTAAGACGATGAACTACATCTGCGTCCTGGGTATGACAATAAACTACATCCGCGTCCTGGGTAAGACGATGAACTACATCTGCGTCCTGGGTATGACGATAAACTACATCCGCGTCCTGGGTAAGACGATGAACTACATCTGCGTCCTGGGTATGACGATAAAATACATCCGCATCCTGGGTAAGACGATGAACTACATCTGCGTCCTGGGTATGACGATAAACTACATCCGCGTCCTGGGTAAGACGATGAACTACATCTGCGTCCTGGGTATGACGATAAACTACATCCGCGTCCTGGGTAAGACGATAAACTACATCAGCGTCCTGGGTAAGACGATAAACTACATCTGCGTCCTGGGTATGACGATAAACTATATCCGCGTCCTGGGTAAGACGATGAACTAAATCTGCGTCCTGGGTATGACGATAAACTACATCCGCATCCTGGGTAAGACGATGAACTACATCTGCGTCCTGGGTATGACGATAAACTACATCCGCGTCCTGGGTAAGACGATAAACTACATCAGCGTCCTGGGTAAGACGATAAGCTACATCTGCGTCCTGGGTATGACAATAAACTATATCCGCGTCCTAGGTAAGACGATGAACTATATTGCGTCCTGGGTATGACAATAAACTATATCCGCGTCCTGGGTAAGACGATGAACTACATCTGCGTCCTGGGTATGACAATAAACTACATCCGCGTCCTGGGTAAGACGATGAACTACATCTGCGTCCTGGGTATGACGATAAACACATCCGCGTCCTGGGTAAGACGATAAACTACATCCGCGTCCTGAGTAAGTCCTGGGTAAGACGATGAACTACATCAGCGTCCTGGGTATGACAATAAACTACATCCGCGTCCTGGGTAAGACGATAAACTACATCTGCGTCCTGGGTATGACAATAAACTACATCCGCGTCCTGGGTAAGACGATTAACTACATCTGCGTCCTGGGTATGACGATAAACTACATCCGCGTCCTGGGTAAGACGATAAACTACATCTGCGTCCTGGGTATGACTATAAACTACATCCGCGTCCTGGGTAAGACGATGAACTACATCTGCGTCCTGGGTATGACGATAAACTACATCCGCGTCCTGGGTAAGACGATAAACTACATCAGCGTCCTGGGTAAGACGATAAACTACATCTGCGTCCTGGGTATGACGATAAACTACATTCGCGTCCTGGGTAAGACGATAAACTACATTCGCGTCTTGGGTATGACGATAGACTACACGCGTACAGTGTACAAAAAAGTAAATGATTAGTGTAAGGTTAGGTGAATATAGCGGGTAGAGTAGAACAGGTCAATAGAGTTCTAAATTGATGTTTCTTTAATATCCCTACAATAAAATAAACATTATCTTTTGCATCTGTTGATGAGTGCAGGCTTCTTTTTAACCAAATCATTATGAACACGTTGCAGCTGCTGGACGTATAAATGTGCATTTATTGATTCATTGTATTTTAAGAACTCTAAGTGAATAAAACCCTGA